TCTCTCGGTGAAGACAGAGAAGCCGCATCTCTCCTTCCTGAGGATCATTTTCATTGCTCCCTTGTTCCTTCATTAATTGATGCTAGAAACTCCTCATTGGTGGTGTTGTTTTCTCTAACTGAACAAGGAGGCAGTAGCCTCGTGATTTATTCCCTCACATGTTCCTGTCGATCACCACAGGGACAACCCTTCTACCTCTAGTGGTTGCCTCTCCACCTGTCAAAATCGAAACCAAGCACCTTACCTTCCATTGATTTCATGTCAAAAAAAAAAAAAAAAAAAATCAGAAGCAACATGGAGGCTGCCGGAGAAGCCCCCATCCGCTCACCTCTTTCCACCATCGACGAGCAACAGACCCTTTTCCCTCACACCTTTCCCTTCCTTCCCCATCAACCATCGCTTCTGCCTACCTCCTCCCCTCCCAAACCTTCTTCTGACCTCCTCCTCTTCTCACCTCACAGTCGGACAAGAGGGAATAAAAGCTCGTTGCTTCTTCCCTTCGTTGCTTCAGTCTCGTCGACCCCGGAGACGCTTCCTTAGCCTGCAATCGATCGACATCCATTGGACCTAGCAGCCGCTTCGTGCTTTCCTTCTCACCTTCATCGATGTACAAATACATGTGTCAACGCCCATGAAATCAGAAATCAAGAAATCAGACTTTCTTTCCCCTTCTTTCTTCATTCGAGCCCTAACTATGTGCGGGTGTGTGTGTATCGTTACTCTTAAATCAGAATTGCAGAAGAACATGTAGAGGCGATAATGGCTTGGTATTTTTTTGAAGATGGCGAAGAGATGAAGGGAATAATAGCTGGTGTTCAGTCAAGATCCAAACTTTGGATCGTGGTGGCTGAAAGCTTTCGATCGAATCCTACGGGGGGTTTTTCAAAGTGACATCGGTGGTAACTAAAAGGGGATAAATTAGGTTAAAATAAACTAGCATAATTATAGGAAAGTATTTGGGAAAGTTGTTTATAAAATTATCTAATTACCCTTATTTATTTATTTAATTATTTATTTATATTTTAAATTTTGATTGGCCCCATTTATGCATACAATAACACAATAAATACTTTAAACACATGAACCTAGCTCTCTCTCTCTCTCTCTCTCTATATATATATATATATATATATATATATATATATATATATATATAATATATATATATATATAGAGAGAGAGAGAGATAGGTTCAGGTGTTTTAAGTAAGTATTGTGTTATTGTATGCATGATTGTAGACCAATCAAAAAATAATAGAAAAACAATAATTAAATAAATCAATAAGGGTAACTAGGTAATTTGAGAAATAACTTCCACAAATCTACTCCCTATAATTTTGCTAGTTACGTTGATTTTAACCTAATTCCCCCCTTTTATAAACGGCCTACTGATCTGATCAATCTTCATCACCAATCGGCTGGGAAAATAAGAACAACGCAGAAAGTTGAATAAAAACGGCTCTATGGCTGGCCGATTCATCGGGCAAGGAAGAGGGGAACGAAAGCAGAGAATGAAGGTAGCCAAAAGCTTGCAGGTGCGCTTCGTCTTTCGATTTGCGAGGAGGGAGGAGTCGTAAGGAGGTGAGCACCTCCGGTGTTCGAATGGTCCGAAGAACAGGTAGCCAAGCTCAGATTCGCTACGAACCACAGTCAGCGAACGTCCATGGGTGAAGAACGAGTGTGAGCCCAAGATCCAATACCGAATCCAAGTTGTTCGCAGGTAGTGAATCCATTCACAAATTGACTTTCGATTTGACCGTCGTTCATCCCAGATGAGATCGATTCCATTCGCAGGTGGTCAAGCCCCAACCATTCGCATGTGACACAGTTCGTACCAAAGGATTCACAAATTCAATTTTGACTTTTTCCCTTGACTGCCAAGAACATCTGCTCAAATCATGTCGATTGATCAAATTCCGATTTCAATCATTCCCAACATCACTCTTCCAAACCCAGTGAGATCAAACATTACAGTTTTGTCCAATAAAACCACAACCCAGTTATGTTCATCCGATCTTTATCTATTCATCACTGGTTGTCGAAATTTCCAAACACCCAATCGCTTTAAAGAATTTGTCAAAGCACATACGATCAAGAATTCACAAAAATTGGTTCCCAAACAAAACCGATTGAAACAAGTAGGTTATTTAACCACAGACTCGTACAAGAAACACCAAGATCGATCAAAGATTGAAATCGGAATTTGTGATAAGTTATTAATTTTTATCAGGTTATGGGTTTGATTGTTTGACATGAAAGAAGGAAGAAGGAAGAACAAGAGGGAACATCTGGTGTTTGTGTGGTCTGAGGCTAGCAGTGAAGAAAGGAGTGCACTTTAGTTCAATTCAGAAAGGGTAAAGGGAACACCATTTCAGTTGTACAAAATTAGATATTTTGGGGTTGCTTTTGACAGAAAATCGATGGGTGTTTGTAGAGTTGATTGGGTTTGTTGTTTTCACAGGAATGGGAGAAGGAAGAACACGAATGGGAAACTGCCCTTTTTTTTGTTGGTTTGCTTGGTACATAAGGGCAAGAACAAGATTGTTCTTGTATTTCTTGACTGTAATCCGTGTGACAACATCTATTGTGAAGAGGAAACACTTTTTCCTTTGGGTTTGAGTGTAGTAATGTCCTGAAAACCATAATGAAATGGAATCACAGAATGGTATTGGTGAGATTCCAATTCTATTGGAATGGAATCACGAATTCCAATTCTGTTGGAATGGAATCACGAATTCCAATTCTGTTGGAATCACAGAAGTTGATGCTTGAAGAACGGACCACAAAATTGAAACGGACCACATTATTCTTTTAGAATGTATTAGTCGTCGTTAGATTTTGATGTTTTCTTTCCCGTTTTGAAAGTTTTTTTAGTTTTATTCTTTAACAATAAATATAATTCTTAACAATTGTTACCCGTATTCTATAAGAAATAATGTATTTTTTGTTTTTATTCTTCAATTTATTTGTTCAAGAATTTGTTAATCTACAAGAAGTTTTTAAATTCATGATCAAGAAATAGGTTCAATAATATTTTTATTATTTATGGTTCAAGAATATTTTTATTTTTGAATATACTCATAAACATATTCTGTCAGAATGTCCGAATTAAAAGAATTATAATTCGTAAAATCGGATTTTTAAAATTAATAGAATCTATTATCCCTTAAAAAATGCAATTTTCCTTTTTAAATCTATATTAATTGACTAAATACCCTTGTAATTAATTAAGATGATATTTTCAATTTATATTAATCAATAATATATATTAATCACTTTCTTAAATAAGTAAATTGGATTGGCCCACATTTATGTATACAATAACACAATAATTACTTTGAATAGAATCCCTAAGCCTATTATATATATATATATATATATATATATATATATATATATATATATATATATACATATATATATATATATATTACTAGTTTTCATGATCTGGACGCCTAGTCATTAAATGAGATGATGAGATGGATATGTTGGTTATATAATGTTATGTTTACCATAAAATTTGATATTATGATGTATTGTATATTTTTTGGAATATAAAATGCATCCAACGAAAACTGCAATAATTACATAAACTAGTAACAACTTCGTCATTTTTTAAGTTTATAAGAAATTTCAAATTGTCTATCTAATCTTATGTAACCCAGTATATCCATCTAATTAGCTCATTTCCTACCCCTTTTCCCGGAAACACACATTCTTACCGGTTTCATTGCTGACATGGATACATAATCATAAATGAGCCGATGAGATCTATATAATATTTTATGGTAAACGTAGCATTATATAATTTATCTTATCTATCTTATTAGCTCATTTAACGACTAGACGTCCAGACTAGCAATGAAACTGGTAAAATATATGTTACATGGAGAAAATTGTCAAATCATCACTTAATTTTAGTTTGAGACTTATTCGTAAAGTATGGTAAAACAATTAGACTTTAATGGAACCAAGTAAGTAATGAAACCGGTAAACCGGGAAAAAGTGGTCAAATCATTATTTTTACCGGTAATTAATGTTTTTTCGTAAACAAATTTTAATTTGAGACTTTTTCGTAAATTATGATAAAATATTATGATTGTTCCAGAGATTTCCCTTAAACATATTCACTAATTTTGTCAAAACCAACTAAATATTTAGGTTGTGTTTGGCATATTAGCTGAAAAGCTAACTGTTAAATAAAAAACTATCTGATAGCTGAAAAGTTAGCTGATAAAAAATGACGTTTGATAAAACTAGCTAAAAGATATAAAATGACATTTAAAAGAATTTATTTATATAATTAATTAAGCGGTACATTTGGAAAATTTAAAAAAGCTCATAAAAATCTAATCTAAGGCTATGTTCGACATAGTAGCTGAAAAGTCAGCTGATATATGAAAAGCTAGCTGATAGCTTAAAAACTAGCCGATAAAAAATGACGTTTGGTAAAACTACCTGATAAGTTTAGCTGAAAGATATAAATGACATAAAATTACATTAAAAGAATGTTTTTTCTGTAATTACTTAAGGGGTATATTTGGAAATTTAAAAAAAAAAAACTCTTGAAAAGCTAGTCTAAGTAGCTTTCTAAAAAAAGTAGCTTATAAACTATTTTTTGGCTTGACAAACATGACAACTTAAAAAAACTTGAAAAATAAGTTAGCTTATTAGCTAGTTGCGACGTGTCAAACACAACCTAAATAGTTTTTTTTAAAAAGCTATCTTGCAAACTACTTTTTGGTTTTTGAAACATGACAACTTAAAATTTTTTTAAAATAAACTAGTTTATCAACTATATATAACGTACCAAACACAACCTTAAGTTAAGTGAGAGTGCTCAATTTGTAAATGCCAACTAAGATTTAAGTTCACTTGTATCGTGGTAAAAGCTTGATCACAAACATGTGATATTTCGAGATCAATACCCATTGGATACACACAATTTGTATTTTAAAGTTTTAAGTTTTCAAATTACTAAAAATTTATGCTTAATAAGCTTTCCTACTCCTTTTCTTTCAAACTCTTATCTAATGTGGGATGTGTGAAGAACCAATATTTCAAGAACCATCCATCACACATCTCCTTGGTGAACAAACAAAAAATGTGTTCTCTATGAGCTGCACTGTCATTTTGTTTGAGCCAAGTTACAAATAGGGATGTAAACGAGCCAAGCCGAGCTTGGCACTTATAGAAGCTCGAGCTCGTTACACCTTTTCTTTTGGCTTCACATTCTTGTTCGGTTAGGCGGTTACACCTTTTCTGTTGGCAGTTAGTAAATAAGGGCATATTAGTAATTTAACTAAGTTCTGTTAAAAAAAGTTGGTGTAAGTTTTTCCACCTAGTACATTTCATATATATTAGCTTTGTTTAATCAATCAACGAGAAACAGTTCAAATTTCTCTCATCTCTCTCAGAGCTTAAGCTACAACAATGGACATGGTCATCCGGGTTGGTTATCCCCTCCCCCCCCCCCCCCCCCCTAAAAAAAATGCTTCTACTTTTACATAATCAAAGTTTAGAAAAGAGTTGTGCAATCAAATATGCCTCTTGAACGGTTTCAAGCCAGACAAATCGAATTCATCATTACAATTTTTTTTTATTTTTTATTTTTCATGACAATTTGGTGTACCACTTCTAAGTTCTAAACCATCAAACTCAATAGCCTCAAAATTACTTGAATTGAATCAATGGCTAACCAACTAGACTGCTTTCTCAAGCATACATCATATTTCAAGATTCACCAGATACAATAATTTAGATTTACATGCCCAACAACTCAAGAAAAACAATTTCAAAGAATTTGGTAAGGCTTACTTGAATTCAGGCAGCTTCCCTGATCTAAATATGGCGAATTTTGAGACCTGGGAATAAGAAAAACTAATCCCATTTTGATTAAGCAACTCTTCCAGCATCAATTTAGCTTCATCAGGATCATCACTCTCGCATTCAATCTCATAATTAACCCCAAAATCAAACTGAGTTTCATCCAATTCCAATTTCAAACCATTCCACTTATGAACAGCTCTCACATTTCTAAACCCTCCAAGAGACACGAGTTCCATTAGATCAACCCCGAATTCCTCATTTACTCTCTTCAAGATTCTGGATTTCTCGATGGTGGAGAACCGCCATGGCTCCGCGGCGCAAGCGCGGGCGAGGGAGGGGTCTAGGGACTCTTCTTCCTCCTCTATGCGACTGATTCCGGCGGAAATTACGGGTTTGGCTTTGAGGGAGAGGATGGCGTGGGAGTCGAGGTCGTAGAAGCGGAGGCGGAGGGCGGCGAGGTGAGTGGGGGCGAGGGAGAGTGATGGGGTGTCGAAGAAAAGGTTTTGTTGGAGGTGGGTTTTGGTGTGGTAAGGAGAGAGTAAATCGGAAAGTTTCTGATGGGCGGTGGAGTCCGGCAGCCGGAGCTTTACTTCCACTTCCATAATCTTGGAGGCGGAGGGGTTGCTGTTGGTGATTTGTGATAACGAAGAGAGTCTTGCAAGATTATTCTTGATCCAACGCGACATCGCCACACATCCCAATCCAAACGTATTTCCGATAAGTTAAAAAATATTGATTAGTAAATCAAAATGTCATTTTTGGTTTAGTTATGACTGTATGTCTAGATTCAAACTAGCAAAATACATGTCGTTTTTCAAGTTTATATATAACAAAGATACTTAATCTACCTTCACGTGTATACGACTTCCTAAAACTTATCTAGTATACTTTATATCAAGTTTATATATTTGTCACGCAGGTTGTTTTAGATTTTGATTTATCCATTTAAAATACATGCTTCATCAACTTGTATAATAGTTGTGTAATGATGTTATATATTATGTGGAAGAAACGAACTTTTAAGTGGAATACAATCAATTCCCTTTGTCATAGTCTTTTTGGTCTTTGATTTTGTTTGGAGTTTACTCCTAATTATTCGCGTAGGTTGTAATTATGCAATGATTATTCATAGATTCCAAAATTCCAATAGTTTGGTATCAAGAGTCTAAATGAAATTCATAATTTCTTTTTATTCATAAAACAAAGACACTTATAGTATTCCGTTGTTGCGGCGGAGAATTTCATTATAAACTGGACCACAAAATTGTAAAATAAAATTTTGATCCAAACAATTATATATGGAAAAGACAGACAAAAATAATGTTTGAAAGTTTATCTTGATTGGTACAATATAACGACAACTATTTAAAAATTATAATAATAAAAAGTAATATTAATAAAAACGAAAACTATAAAAACAAATTATATAAGTGACGAAAAGGATAATTTGAAAATATAATAAATAACCAAAATCACAACATACCTATAATTTAGCTTTAATGTTATGAAGAGCGAAAACCATTAGATTAAAATTAGTTTAGGTGTAAAAAATATAAAAGAAAATAAAGTTTAGAGTGGAAATGAAAATAGAAAGACAAAATCTCTATTTTTAAAGAGAAACTTATTTTGAATCTTATTTCGTATATAGAATTATACCATACCAAGTGGACCACAAAAAATATCTAAATAAAGTTTCGGTCCAAATACTTATGTATAAAAAAGATGGGCGAAAATAAGGTTTAAAAAGTGTATATTGTTTGGTGCAATATGTATACATTTTGTGGGTTAATACCACAATAAATACCGTAAAAGTTCATAACGTTTAAATAAAAATGAAAATTATAAAAAAAAATTATATAAGAGACAAAAAACTTGATTTTAAAATATAGTAAGGGACCAAAATCACAACTTATAAAAAATACTAATAATTTGATCTAAAAGTATGAATGATGAAAACTGTTAGATAAAAAAATTCCAGAAAAAAAAATATAAATATAAAAATGTGTTGATATCATAAGCAAAATTTCTATTATAAAAACTCTTATTTTATATGTTGTATTATATGGTGGAAAAATTATAATGTAATTTGGTTTTATTATTTTTTAGAGTTGAAAAAACAAAACAAATGAATAGTATCTTTGTGAGGAAACCACGGTTTGCAAATTAATATATAATATATATATATATATATATATATATATATATATATATATATATATATAAACCCTAAGTCAAGGGGTCAACTCGTCGAGTCCAGGGAGGAACTCGACGAGTCAGAGCGGGATCCGGGGGATCGATTAAGTAACCGACTCGGCGAGTCGGCAAAAAGGACTCGGCGAGTCCGGTCTGAAGAGGGAAACCCTAAATCCGGGACTTTGGGCACTATTTAAACGTCTTATTCTCTCCATTAGGGTTCCTTGGAGCCTCTCTCATCCAGAAACTAAAACCCTCAGCCTCCATTGTTGCATATTCAAGTCTTTTGCCATTTTTGGGTGATTTGAAGGAAGAAGGAAGGAAGGAATCTTTGGGGCTTCAAGGATTGGATTTAGATCCAGAGTTTGGGTCACTTTTCAGAGTTATTGAAGGTATTAAGTCGTTATTTTCACCCTTCTTCATCTAGTTTTCCCTTTGTTATGAGATTTGGGGCTTTTATGCCATGTCCTTGAACCATTTCGAGTTAGAGCCCAAATCTGAAGTTGCTACTTCAGATCTAAGTGTATTCTGGCCTAGAGAGTCATAAAGTATCAGTCTTTGGGGGTGTGGGTGAAGCATGGTTGTCTTAAACCCGAGTTAGGAGTGTTTTGGGCCTAGATCTCCTTAGCTACACGTAAAGTTTGCACTTTTACGTGAGGGATGGACTTTGGAAGTATGGATCTATGATTTGGGGCCCCTGCATGGCTCGAAAAGCCACTGGATGGATTAAGAACTGGAGCGACTCGGCGAGTCACATGGGTGGACTCGGCGAGTTGGATGAAGTTGGGCAGGAACTCGGCGAGTTGGAAGAACAACTCGGCGAGTCTGTTGAAGATTGCCTTGGACTCGGCGAGTCTGTTCTTGGACTCGGCGAGCCAAGTCGCGAAACCCCAAACCCTTCGAGTTAAGACTCGGATCAGTGAGTTGAGTGGGGACTCAGTGAGTTGGACAGGTCAGGACTCGGAAATCGGTAGACTCGGCGAGTCAGGGGCTGACTCGGCGAGTCGAGTCGCGAATAAAAGGATTCTGAGCAAATGAACTCGGCGAGTCAGTAGGCAGACTCGGCGAGTAGGGTTGACCTGGAAGGTTGACTTTGACCAGAGTTGACTTAGTTGACTTTTGGAGAGCAGTTAAGCTAAGTGATATATGTTTTGATATTGGTAGCTCGGGGAGCTAGTGGAGCAGCAGTTCAGGGAATTGTCGGTCAGCATCCAGAAGGGTTACCAGCAAGTTCTACAGTATCAGGTGAGTTTCCCTTTGTGTGAATGGGTCTAAGGCCACAATGCCGGCCCATGTAGATATGAGTAGGAAGACCCAGGGGTTAGCCCTAGGCACGGTATGCCAGTGTGATAATTAGGACCAAGGTCCATCGATAGCGGGCGGGTGCCCAAGGAATGGTTGCATGATAGAGTATACTTGTTGTCTGTGTGATACATGTATGTGCCTGGTAGGGAGGTGAGTGTGGGCGAGGTCCCGTACCTCACCAATAGTAGAGTGTGGACGGTGTTCCACATCTCATTAGCAGGAGAACAGGGGCGAGGCCCAAGTTAGGGAAATAGTGAGTGTGGGCTGGGCCCGTATCTCATTATCAGTATGAGAGTGGACGGGGTTCCATGACTCATCAGTAGCAGGACAAGGGCGAGGCCCAAGATAGGCGAGGCCTCAGGACATGATTTATTAGTATATGTTAGTTATGTGTTGTGATATGCCTATGTGTTAGTATATGTTAGCGGGCGAGGCCCAGTGACAGGCGAGGCCTAAGTGAAACAGATCTGTATCCGAGTGGGGCTCGAAGCCAGGCGGGGCCTGGAGCGGCGGGGCCGTTGTAGCGGGCGAGGCCCGAAGTAGCGGGCGTGGCCCAGTATATGTTGTATGTATTTGTGATGGGTATGTGGTAGGTTGGGGAACTCACTAAGCTTCGTGCTTACGGTTTTCAGTTTTGGTTTCAGGTACTTCCGGTAGCGGAGGGAAGAGCTCGGGGTGATCGCATGGCACACACCACAGATTAGTCAGCCTGGGATGTTTTACTCTGATAATGAACATATGTTTTGGAATTTATTACTCTGATTTTGTTATGGATCGATAAATATGTTTTAAGTATTGTTTTATAAAAGGAATTTTTAGTCTTGAAAATTGGGACGTTACACACACACACACACACACACACACACACACACACATATATATATATATATATATATCTATATATATATATATATATCTATATATATATATATATAGATAGATTTCAAAAGTTATGTTGACTCATTCTAGTCAAAAAGTATGATTTTTTTAAAATTTAAATCCTCTATATTGGATAAGATAAGTATGTGGTTTGAATATTTCAATATTAGTTTTACATTTGTACTTAATGCATTGTATTTTGTAATTTGTTGATAAATGTTTGTACATTCAGCTTAAAAGTTTGGACGTCTTAAATCTATTTTTAGAAATAGTAAAGTTTGTATATATATATATATAAATATATATATATATATATATATATATATATATATATATACTATCTTATAAAAGAAATCATGCTATTTCCAAAAATAGATTCAATATAATAATAATATTTTTTAAGACGTCCAAACCATTAAGCTAACAGTACAAATAACCATCAATAAAATAATATTATATTTAAAATAGTCTAAAATTAATAACTAAAGGTACATGTATCTGATGCATACAATAATTGATCCGTCCCCTTTTGATCGAGTCTATTTTGAATACTCTGAGAATTCGGCAAATATTTCTCGATTATGGCTGCTTCCCCTGGAATCCTTCGTCTAACTTCTCCCTCGTATATCTATGTGTGTCTCTCTGCTCTCTAATAAAAACCCTAAACGCGTCCATCTACCTCCTTTTACCACCGAATTCTACCACCACCATCAAACGTAGTCACCACCATGTCTTTCACCTCTACGAACCCTACAAACAACCACTATCATCCACGACCCTTACCACCAGTCGCCACCATACACGACCACCACCTCCACGTACACCATCTTCGTTATAAGCATGTAATTAATGTTTTGTGTAAATATGATATTTATTCGGTGCCGACGTTTTGCCCCTTACCATGACCGTTGATTTTAGGGCTTATTTGAGAAAAGTAATGATTTTAGGGCTTCCAATCAGACCCACCTTCATATGTTCCACCGTCTTCTCCCAGATCGTTTGTTCACCATTGTCTCCTACTCACCACCTTCCGTGTCTCTCCCCAAAGAAAGTCATCATCTGATCGTTCTTCATGACCATCTGTTTCCCAGTCTTCCACGAACACCGTTGCTACTCCATCCCGAATAAAAGAGGTAAAACACGCGAATTACCCTTTATATCTCTATGAATCTCTGTATATGTATGTGTTTGCAAAAAACAGAACTAAACCTCTTCGATTTCAGATTTAACGGATTGATCAATGGCCTATTTTCCAAAGGGTTTCTCTTTACGATTTTGCTTATCTGAAATGACATATGACCTCCTGCTTGCACCTTCTCTCTCTAAACCCTTAATCTAAAGACACAACACCACTCATCCTCACCAACAACTAATCTATCTACGAGAAAAGGTAACATATCTCTCCTATATATGATTATATTTTCCCTAAAAGTGTATCCAGTTGCATCTTCTCTCTCTAAACCCTTAAGGTTTTGATGTAAGTAAAAAAAACATGTAGGGAAATGATGATGTTCACGGGCCTTTGTTTGATGGTGAATGGAGTTCCCGGAGCTGTTGGCCTAATTGGAATAACCAGACATTAGATCTTCAAAAGCTACAACAGTATGTTGGAATGAACAAAATCAACCTTGTGTTAAACTATTTATCGTTGTTTCCCCTTTTTGGTTATTGAGGATTTAACTTACCTCTCATTAGTTTATCTATTGCAGCTGGTTTATGGAATTTGTTTTGATTCAACCTTAGTGGTATAGGCTGCATCCGAAGCTCTAGCTCAAGGGGCCTTGTTATGAAATGATTTGGGTACACATTTTCAACATTTTTACTTGCATTTCATTGGCTTATCTATCATAAGTGATTTGGCTTTTTAGACCTAAGTGCTTTCCTTGTGATTATATTTGTTATGTTAAGTTAATGATGATTCCTTGATGTCCAGGTAATTTTGAAACCGGAAAAATTACAATTTTCAATACATTTTAATATAGGATTTCAAGAATGATATTTATATGTTAAAAGCTTTACTGTTTTGTCGTTTATCTTTATAATTATCTTGAACAACGATGCATAATGCTTTGGTGTTTTATTTTTTTTTATTGAAACTAATAAAATAGTTTGAAGTTGCATTGAATGTTTGTAAAACACAACTGAGTGCTCCATATAGTTTAATGAAAATTTGGGAATTAGTTTAGGCTCTTCAGCAACAACATATTTAGCATAATATGTGACATCCCATGTGACAAACCCAACTCAATTACTAATTATTTCAATGATTTTCTAACGTTATTAACCCTCACAAGATCCACAATCAGAAGATGCAACGGACTGGGGCGGCTCATATGTAACTGGTTATGATCATGCTTACTAGACTACCTTTTTAATGGTTTTATAATGTATAATAACTTATATCTATGTATAATTATACATCCTCTATGTATAATTGTAGGTTGGAAAATCCTATGCCCCCAACGAGCAAAAGAAGAAGCAAGGCTTGGTGATAATTTTGGTTGAGTCCTAACAGATGAACTTATTTGGCTGAAGTTTGAAAGTGGGGTCCAGATCATATCTAAAGTGGTCTAGAAAAATTGGAAGATTATAGAAGAACTTTTCTGGATAGTCTGTTGTAAGTTGACCAGACCATGGAAATTCCAAGTATAGAGGATGTAGAGCGTGTGAGATACTCTCCAAAGTGCCAGGTTAGGAAGCCATGCCAACAGCCAGAAAGCATCTACCTCTCCTTGAGGTAAGGGATTCCATTTTTACATACTTTGTTTTAAATTATATATCTTAGTTTTAAATTTCCTTTATCCATGTAATCTTTAGTGACACAATGCTTTGGAATTTTCAGAACTTCAATTGAGTTATAATTTGTTATATTTGCTATTATATATGCTCTTAATTCACATAATTGGTGGTTAGATGTTGCATTTTTGTCCATGGTTAGTACTTCTAGCAATTTTTACCCCAAAAGTGTTGTACTTTGAAAGTGGACACATGAACCAACTTAAAAAAAAAACTACTCTATAATTTCAAAGTACAATGTCCTATAAAAAATAGTTAGTTGCAATTAACGAAATGAGTGGTGGTGGCCTACAAAAAGTAAGGACAGGGACTATTTCTGTATTTTTTTCTAATTCCTAGAAAATGTAAGGACTATTTATGTAGTTTTTGCAAAATGAATGAACAGAAACCATTTCAATTTTATATAATTACATACCATATCTGTAATTTTACTTTCATTATGAATCGGAGGTTTTAATAGAAACTAGAGGGGAATCATGCGCGCCGTTGGCGCTGTGTTCGTTTTTTTTCTCTTGTCAGCAAAAACCTCTTCTGATAAAAGTCAAAACATTAGCCAACAGCCCACAAACCTCGTATCTATATTAATGAAGACATATTCGACATACAGGAGGCCTTTGGATCCAAGAAGCTTCACACATTCATTTTTGCACCAATCTCTGAAGTCCATTGCCTCTACAAAAACCAAAAACACAAGTAAAAAATTAATGCTATAGAAAGAAGAATTGTAAGGAGGATGATATATACAAAGCTAATTGCTATTCCTTTAAGTGAAGGAAGTGTACCTGAATGTTTAGCCATCACATCTCTTTTCCCTTTCAATGAAGGAGATGATGAAAGAGAAGTTTCAACAGCTCTTCCACTTCCAAACTCCTGTCGACTCATACTGGCTCCTTTAAAATCAGCCCTGCATCACAACCACAAACACATCAAACACACTTCCATAAAATATAAATCGTAAAATAAAAACACATATACAATAAAAGTAACATACTTTTTTGCTTCTTGTTTCAGGTGATCCAAAGGACCCCAACAAAGATTATAACTTATATGAATTGTCAAATACTTTTAACAAATACTACTATTATTTAGTATTATTATATATATTGTTATTACGATAGTTCTAAATATTATGTATTATAAAATTATAATAGAATATTATTTATTTGTATATAATTAATATAAATTAATTATAAATTTCGTTAAATCCCATTATACCGAATTGCCCCTACAATAAAACAATACAATGTCGTAATAGAAAGTAATGAAAGTAGGGTGACATAGAACACAAATAAATATAAGTATGTTGCTATTTTTTTCATTAATGTAATTTCAGAGCCAATATATATGTGTGTAATCTGAGTACTGATGCATGATTTCCCTTGGACTATATGTTTCAATGGTTGTCCGTATCCAAAAACTGAAAAAAAAAAAAAACCTTAAGAAATCGTTAATAAATTAATAGTAAACTGCAAAAACACTCATATGGTTCGATCTTGACCTGTTGTAATGACCTATGTTTCAATGGTTGTCCGTATCCAAAAACTGAAAAAAAAAAAAACCTTAAGAAATCGTTAATAAATTAATAGTAAACTGCAAAATGTCAATTGGATTTGACTATATTCCATTACCTCTCAACTGTTCCAAATAAAACGATAAGAAGTTCAGACATCTGCCCGTGTGTAAGCAAACTCCATCTCCGGTCTCTCTCAGCCAGCCGACAGCGGCTCCGGCCAGCACTTCCACCGAACGCCTTCGCCAACACCGGTTATTAATTAACTATTTCATGATCGCAAACACAAGGTTTGTGTAAAGTTATAGAATTGAGAACCATGCAGTTCCTTGTTAAGACGGATACAGATGAATAGTGACCATGAACGAAGAAGTGGGAATAAAGAAATATAAAAAAATATCTAGGATAAAAGACGAACCGAAAGTAGCTGATTTCCAAAATGTTGGAAACATTTGCAGAGACTGTAACGGTTGTTAACATTCTTTTGGTTGCAGTCATTGAACTCGTGTTCCTCGTTCATTTCTATATCCAAAAAAAAAAACTGATTATCATTAGCAACTCGAGTAAAAAACATGACTATTCTCATCAAACATACATTGCCTCGCATTTTTCACCATACTAAAATTGACTACCTTGATAATATCCAAACTTCTGACAATTTTTCATAATTGTACTTTCAATTCTAGCAGTGTATAGTTATTGAGATCGTTTGAACATTGGACAATCAAATTTTCAACCAGAGTTATTTGGTGGATTGAAACCAAGAAGAACTGTAGAAGTCGATGCACATTGATCTAAAAAGAACCCCTGCAATTAGTATAACTATTTATCCTTTTCTTGGAAGACTACAATTAATTCTTTTGGTACTATCGTCTATGGACATATCTATTTTTTTTAAAAGGATACCTGCCAAAATAGAATTCTTTCTATAGCGGAACCTGTGGGGACAGCCTCTGGCCACGTAGGGATGACGATATACGCAGCAAATCTTTCATGTGCTCTGATTTTATTAGCAATCTTAAGAGCAGTCTCCATCGGAATCAAATTATTAGCACCTACAAAAGGAAAACAACAGCAGATGGTAACATATTATTATGTTGACATGTAAAAAAAAAAAAAACTTTATTACCCAAATCTTAATAATTACTCCAATTATAGGATGATCCAATAAAATACTGGTTCTCAATATAGATGAAATGTTGGGCACGACAAATAGCCATGACAAGTGCAGAATATATGCTCATATCAATAAGCACATTCTTCCCACAAAACAAATTCTGTTTACACAAATACATTTATAAGCATTTCATTATTGTTTATTAAATATATATATATATATATATATATATATATATATATATATATATAAGAGATACAGTGATATATCATCACCTTGGTTGTAGCTTCTTGGGGATCTTTTGGGATCCATTTTTTTTTTTTTTTGATTATTTTTATTTATAAAGTTACGTGATCATTTTACTCCAAATAATCAACAAAAATTCTGAATCGAATAGTTAAAAATCACATTAACTGGTTTCTTAAATGACCATTGTCACTGTTGTTAGTCTTTGGGGAATTTAAGCAAACACATGGTGAGCATAATATATAAAGTTTAAGAGAGTTCACCTCCTCAGACGTGTCAATCCTCTTCCAGCAAAGGTAACGGAATCCGACAGAATTGCAATTTGAGATTCCATTCCATGGCGTGTTTGGTTGCCAAATGGACGGAATTCAGTTCCATCGGAATCCTTCAAGTTCCATGTTTGATGGATTTCACCATTCTTATGGAAGGGTGGAAGGAATTCAATTCAACTCCATTCTTTCTTTTTCAAAAGACCAAAATACCCTCATCATATATATATTGAAATGAAATAAATAAAAATGATAAATTAAACCATAAATGAAAACTTAAAAACTATTTAGTTATTATTAACGAATTCCATTGAATTTCCTGTGACATGTTATAATTTCATTCCTTCATATTCCAATTCCTTCACAAAACATTAACCAAGATTATCTCTTTATATTCCATTTTCAATGTTACATTTTCCAAAGTATTTCTTGTAATTATATAAACATGTGTAGCAACTTACTGTATTTAATCAATTGCTCTTGAGCCAGACTCTCCAACCGTTGTTTCAGTGCTTTATTTTCCATGAACAGAATAAGACTTTGCTGATTCAGAAATTCCACCTCAGCAGACACCTCAGAACCCTCTGCCTACAGTCACAAAATATATAACATGACCTGGTTGGAATCAATAAAATATTAATAAAAACTTTTTTTTTTTAAATTCTAATCTACCTGTAAAGCCTGTACATTCTTTTCCAGCTCAGCAATGTACTGAAGCTTCCGAACCCGTGAACGTTAAGCAAATTGCCTGTATCAAGTTGATTATTAGATGAGCCATTTATCTCATATGAAAACCAGACAAAAGATATCATCTTGACAAAAAGAGTAAGAAATCTATTAAAGTACAACAACTTCACTTAATTTCAAGAGTCATAAAGATGAAAAATAACTTGACTTTTAGTATCCCAATTCCCAGATATATAGTTTTATTTAATTACACGAGCATGAATGAATAACTATAATCAAGATGGGAAAGGAACAAAAGAGAGAAAAATTTTGGTTACTGTTTGGCACGTTTTGTGTCTGTTTCTGATGCAGAAGGTTTGTTGTTAGAAGAATCCTTTCTTTCAGAACTATCTCCATCTTGTCTAACAGATTCAACTGCATCTTTCTTCTCCCTTGCTATTGAGAAAAGCGGACAGCCTATTATCCAATTCATGCTCTGTATCAACAATATACAGCTGCAATACGAAAGTTCTATCTATGAAACCAAAGAAGCATAAACACAATCCATGGCCATTTTCTCAATGACCTTCTCAATCAAAACAGCAGCATCGTGAACAGTTGCAATGATGTAAGCACTTTCTTCTTCCACACTGATTCCAAATTCTTCTTCAAGTCCCATGACAATTTCAACCTATTTACACGAACATTATGAACATATTGGTTTGAACATGTGTCAGAAATTTAATGTATATATACAAATACAAAAAAGGATTTTGTAATTTCAACCATAATAAAGAAAAACAAAATACTGTATCAACAGAATCAACTCCAACTGAAGCAAACTTTTATTCTCCCATGACAACAGAGTCTTCTGGCAGTTGAAGGGCTGCTTCGTAACAATCGGAAATTAGAAGCCCTGGCCTGTAAAAAGAATGAATTACATCCATAAATAGTAGAAACAACCAAGAAACAAAAACCGTATGTAAGAAATCCACAAATAAGCAGAAATCTAGCATAAATCGGAAGTGAAATCGTTATCCATAACCATAGCTTACTATACCAGGTTTACCAACTGTTGTTTGATTACCAACGTTGTGCAGGTCCGATGGTTGTGAGCAAAGCATCAGCCTAATCCAGAAAATCATAAACAACAAAACGGAAAATGATTAAATATTAGAGCGACGGTGGCTGCTGCGCTCCTCCTGGTGGTCATAGTGACCTAAAATAAACGACTGAGAAACAGGATCCCGAAAGCGATAGTTGGAGGAGGACACATACATGCGGTCGACGACGACGGTGGTCCGTGGCGGTGAAGGGGGTGAGGCGGCGAGCGATCGGTGGTGGTCCGTCGGGGGTGGGTCGCTGGTGTTGATGTCGGCTGAAGATGATGGCGATGACCAGAAGAATCGTCGGTGAAGGAATACCAAAGCCTGAAACCCACTACCCACTGAGGTGGAATAGATCGAACCCAAAAAAAGGCGGTGGGTAGCCGAGGTAGAGGCGGTATGGAGAAGGATCCTGAAAATAGAAAGAAAGACAGTTTCTTTGATTAAAAGAAATTGAGGCGGTTGATAAGATGGAAAGGAAAAAGGAGCTGGGGCGCTTTTATGAAAAGGAAAACTTAAGTGGAAGAAGAAGAAAGAGAAAAAAGTAGTCGGCTATATGAGAACGAAAGATATGTGCCCAAACTGAAAAGCCGAAGAGTTCCGTGTGAAATGAAGAAAGAGAAGAAACAACACTGTTGACGAAGGTTTTAAGAATTTATATTATATATAATGTACCTTATTTAAAAAAGAGTTGTTTTTTTTACGCTTTTTATTACCAGGTCAAAATCCGAGTTTGATGCAAGTGTTTTTAATGAAAGCCATGAAACCTGCAATGTTATTTTCAGTGTAGGTGGTTATGGACAATGAAATATAACAAGGGATTATAATTGTTGACTGTTCATTTACAAAGCTACATCGGGTACAACTTCTACCTATTTAGAATGTAATAATTTTCAGAATTGTTTTTGAAATTATAGAGTATTTGTGCAATAAAAGTTTTAAGGGGTATTTTGGTCATTTTATGAAGTTTGATGGTTTAATGACCTGCCAAAATAATAACTATGGAGGAATTATGTTTTTTTTCTGGATAATTGCAACAGTGTTCATTTGATTTTTGATGGCACTTGGTATGATGCTTTGAAGTTTTGGTGTAATAATAAGAATAAAGGGTAATATGGTTCTTTGCTTGTTACTGTCAAATATAACAGGTGGTTCAAACCTTGTTTGAAATTTTAAGTTTTTGGTTGACAGGAGAGAAAAAAGATTATAGTGTGATGCATAGAAATTTTGGTGAGATTACTCAAACAAAGGGCATTATGGTCTTGTTTTGTTTATTGCTATTTGTGCTAGAATTTTTTAAATCAACATGAATATTAATGATTATGGAAGGTAGGGGAAAATAAGTTGGCTTGATGCTTTGAAGTTCTGGTGCAATAAAATTTTTTAGGGGCATTTTGGTCTTTCTCTATTATTTTAAGAAGTTTTTTTTCAAGGTCTTTTCAGTTGAGTTGTACTATGTGCTTACTCCTATGTATTTCTAACAAGTTGTGCCTTTGGAGAAATACCGATTAAGTGTACACACAAAATTCTCTATCTTTGTAAATTAAAAATCAATAAATTAGAGTATAAAGTTTGTCACAAAGTATTTAAACATTAATACGTCTGGTAAACATGTAATAGATAATTTGATGAATTTGAAATCCAACAACAAAACCATTTTAACATTAATACGTAAGGTAAACATGTAATAGATAGATTTAGAAAACATCTTTGGCCAATGTATGAAACTTGGATTACAAATCTAAGTTAAATGTTAGTATTATTATAAAACTGATATATTAACGTTAAAATCATTTGATGTTGTTCAATATCTTTTGATTTTAAAATAAAAAAATAAAAACTATAAGTATTCTGTAATTAATAGTTAATGGTAAATTGCAATTAATAGTTAATGTTTTTTTAGAAAGGAAACTTTCCTAACGATGGTTTTTGGGTCCGTTTTCATGCAACGTGCGGCTACAAATCTATCTGGAAATTATTCGTCGAAAGGACACAAAACAATTCGACAAAAAGTCAAAAAAAAAACTATCTAGCGCCAAAAAGAAAATAATTGCAGCGCCGCATTGCGTTGCGTACTATTTGTTACCGTAAAACTGACCAAGAACAGTATGAGTGTTCCTAGAAATATAACATGTTTCCGGATGAAACTAACTGCCGAAAGAACTCATTCGCCGCCGCCGCTTTGCGCGGGTACACCACTAGTATATATATATATATATATATATATATATATATATATATATATATATATATATATATATATAAATGTAATTGAATCTTATATAATATTTACAAGTTACAACTTGTTATAGATGAAAAAAGGGTATAAATATACACTTATTATGGATTAAAACCAAAACACGTCTTCCATAACTACAAAATGCAAGTTTTAATATGGTTATTTTCTTTTGTTTATGTGGTTACGGTGACTCCAATGTATGATGTATAGCCTCATGTTCGCAAGAGGATTAACCATGGTGCATATAAGCTAGACGGACACCTTTGTTAGAGAGACCATTCTTTCCAAAAAAAAAAAAAAAAAAAAAGTAACAATTTCTAAGAAAGACATCAAATTCAAGTTTTGCAACCCACAAAATTCGATTAAAATCACAATTTGAGCTCCGGTTTTTTTTATGGGAGCTGATTCTTCCACTAAAGATTTTGATAAATCCGCTGAAATTATAAGTGGTATGACAACTAGACCCTCGTTTAAATTGTAGTGTATTATTATTTTTTTTTGGACGGATGATTCTACCTGAGTAATTATGTTAAAAAAATGTTCGGCTAACTCCCCTCGTTCACAATCACATCGCCCTCTTAACCGTTCTCTCTGTTTTTATCAACCATTTTCTTCTTCAGAGCTACCACAGAGACGACTAGCTTCACTGCCCGCCTCCACGGTGACCACCACCTCCACTGCCGGCGTAGGTACCGGTTTTGTTTCCGGGGGAGAATTCCGGCGACCTTTTTTGAGAATGAGAAAAAGAGAAGTGAAGATATTCATAATTCAATGACGCTAAGCTAGGTACCTTGAATTTTATTGAATTTTTATAAGATTTATATTTAAAATCGTTCACATGCATATGGAGAGAATTACAACAAAGAGCATGAAACAATGAAGTCTTGAATTAAAAAAAAAAAAAAAAGGTAGACTTGAACCAAGAAAGAAGAAGGCTTCAACAAGAATTTAATAAAGTCGCCCCCTGCTATAGTAAAAAGAATGAGAAATCTAACTATCAAGGTTCACCATGAACCTAGTTTCACTTTATTTTGATATGTAAATTTCTCATTATTCACAGGTAAAAGGATATTGAACTCAATTATTGAATTTCAAATTCCTCAACTATTGTTTAGTAACTTAGATCAATAATATTTGATATCAATCCCATATAGGCATACATAGAGAATCAGAGACTAAATATGATCATGATCTTTTAATAGAACCAAGAATCAAGATCACTTCCCAGAAGTAGCGGATTTCCGGCTGAAGATTGAAGCGCCGAAGGAGAAGGAGGAAGGACCGTCCTGTGCGTCGTGGTTGGAAAATGGAAACAAATCTTTTGGATCTTTTTCTCTTTTCAATATCTCTGAATTAAAATAAGGGTATATATGTCAATGCACTATTAATTCAGTGGATGTATAAAAATATACCGTGGAAAAATCACTTCCCTTTTTTTATTGTTTAAACTTTAAACGGTTTGTAACCTAATAATGTTTTAGATTTAGTATACGGTAATTACATTTCTTAAAACTAACTTAAATACACAAAATGGATAAGGATTGTGGGTCAAAATCAAAAGTGTATTAATTCTTAAATGACTTATCCAAAACTCACCCGATAAAAAAAAATTCTAAATAAATTAAAGTTAGAATTTCTTTTTTTAAACATAATGTAACAATAATCGAAATAAGCTGTTGGGATTTGGAAGAAACAGACTCCGCCATAAAAACTAGGAACTACGATACAACAACCCAACAAACATCGTTCCATTTCCTAGAATTGGTGAAATCTCGATCAACAACAAAATGGCTAAAGAGGAGACGTTTATTGGATCGATAGATCAAGGAACAACAAGCACAAGATTCATCCTCTACAATAAGAAAGCTGAAAACATTGGATCCCACCAAATCGAGTTTACTCAGTTCTGCCCACATGCAGGGTAAAATCAAATCAAATTCTTCTTCTTCGTTTTTTTGTCGTCTTTAATTTTCGGTTTTTATGCATGATAATTCATAACGATGATAGATGGGTGGAGCACGACCCTATGGAGATTCTCGAAAGTGTGAGAATATGCGTATCAAAGACCATAGACAAAGCCACCGCTAATGGATACAACATTGACAATGGCCTCAAAGCAATCGGAATCACGAATCAGAGAGAAACCACCGTTGTTTGGAGCAAATCCACCGGAATTCCTCTTTACAATGCAATCGTCTGGATGGATATACGAACCAGCTCCATTTGCAGGTTCCTTCTCATCATCTCTTCCCAAATCTTTTTTACAATTCAGATCCTTGAATAACAATAGTCAAAAATCATCCCTTTTTGCATGTCATAAATTTAACGTTTTTAAAACCGGATTCGATTTTTTATCAGCGAATTGGAGAAAAAGTTATCAGGTGGAAGAACCCATTTTCTAGAAACATGTGGATTGCCAATAAGCACGTATTTCAGCGCGATGAAACTGTTATGGCTTCTGGAGAATGTGAAGAGGGTGAAAGAAGCTGCAGAAAAAGGCGACGCATTGTTTGGAACCATTGATTCCTGGTTAATCTGGAACTTAACCGGAGGCATAAACAACGGCATCCACGTCACCGACGTGTCAAATGCATCCCGAACAATGCTTATGAACATCAAAACCTTAAATTGGGACAAACCCACATTAGAAACACTCAAAATTCCTTCATCCATCCTCCCAAAGATCATCAGCAACTCCGAGGTCATCGGTCGCGTCGGAAAAGGATGGCCGTTCACCGGAGTTCCGATTTCCGGTTGTTTAGGCGACCAACACGCAGCGATGTTAGGGCAAGCCTGTAAAAAAGGGCATGCAAAATGCACTTACGGGACCGGCGCTTTCATACTCTTGAACACCGGTGAGGAAGTAATCAAATCGCAACATGGATTATTGACGACTTTAGCCTTCAAGCTCGGGAAAGATGCGTCCACAAACTACGCCCTAGAAGGTTCAATCGCCATCGCCGGAGCTGCGGTGCAATGGCTGAGGGACAGTCTTGGAATTATAAGCAGTGCGAAAGAGATTGAAGATTTAGCTTCAGAGGTTGAATCTACTGGTGGGGTCTACTTTGTCCCTGCTTTCAATGGACTTTTTGCACCATGGTGGCGTGAAGATGCTCGAGGAGTTATTATTGGGATTACTCGGTTTACAAATAAATGTCATATCGCTCGAGCTGTTCTTGAAAGTATGTGTTTTCAGGTGAAAGATGTGTTGGGTTCGATGCGTAAAGATGTAGGTCACAGAAATGAAGGGAGGAATGAAAAAGGGGAGTTTTCTCTTAGGGTTGATGGTGGGGCCACTATTAACACCATGCTTATGCAATTTCAGGTATATTTTTTGGTTAGAAAAAGTAAAGCATATTGGTGATAAGTATTTAGTACATTTTTTGTATTTGTATTTTTCTTTTTTGTAGTCTGATATATTGGGTATACGAGTCGTGAGGCCGAGTGACATAGAGACAACTGCACTTGGAGCAGCTTATGCAGCTGGTTTAGCGGTTGGAGTTTGGAGTGAAAAAGATGTATTTTCAAATGAGGAAAGAATGAAGAAAGATAAGACTTTTAGTCCTGTGTTGAGTGAGGAATTGAGGAAGAAGAAAGTGGATTCTTGGATTAAAGCTCTGGAAAGAACTTTTGACTTGGCTGATTTGTCCCTCTAGTACAATATTATTACCATTACTTTCTCTCTTATTATTCAAGTAAAGATAGTTGGAGATTGGTCTTCATACGTTCGCGAGTGTATGGTAATTCTTTACGGTTAATGGTGAATGCAAATTAGATCGGTAAAAGACGCGGTTGATGATTTTTTTTTTCCTATGAAACGTGTATTTTGAAGTATTTAATAAAAACATTGTTCTTTTTATAATTTACTCATTCAAATTGCACCAAATAGTAACGTACACACAACATGTTTTATATTTTTATCTTATAATAGCAACTTAGTTACAGTTTTACCAACTATAGCAAAAGTTAACCTGAAAAATCGGTAAGCAGTAACAAATCTACTTTTTAATTTCTTTCTTTTTATATTTTTTTGCTTATGAGTAATTACTAATATCAACTCATCATTTTGAATCAAAGAAATGTTTAAGCGGGATAATCTCAATCAAACTTGTAATAATCATATAGCTTCAACCAATGCTAGGAATTTGCAAATTTGTATGCTCGAAAAGAACAATATTATATCAAAGAAGAATGGTTTGCAAATTTGTGCCTACTGATGTTCGTTAATCTAATTTAAAATGAACTGCCGGTATATATTTGTGTAAAATTGTTTTAATTAGTGTAATTTTATTGGTTTTTTATGGACTATGCGAATACCAAATATTGATGTTCGATTACCTTACATATCATGTATCTCAAGCACATTGACGAAAACTGAACCGAGTGTCTTGAAGAGATAGATCGGCTAGTCGAACTAGAGTTGAGTAAGACCGGAAATGATTTCATGTATGCTTCACATATATACTTACTGTGTTAAGAAAAGCTTAAAAATAATCACAACTTTTATCCAATTAAAAATAATCACAACTTTTATCCAACATCAAGTGCTCTTTTTCAAATTTCTGTGTCTCAAAGATCCTATAAACATTAAATATGTACACTCAAAAGTGCAACTGCGATTTTAGCACCTTAAGTAAAATCAAATTAGCGTTCAAAAAATGTTTACTATGAATTTAGGCATTAACTGCAGCTTTTCTGGGTGAATACGTATTCTCATATACATACATATCTATCATATACACTGCTGTCATCTACTCTACATACAGTTTTCATGCACATACTTAACTGTCATATACATACTTATCATACAAACAGACATATACATACATACCTATTTCAATTTTGATGGAGGAAAGTTGATCAAGGTAGAAGTTAAGTCATAAAATTTACTATCTTATTATTGGAAAAATCAAGATTTCTATATCAACATTTTTTTTTTGCAAACATGGAGCGGACGTGGCTTTAAACAGCAAAAACATGACAACGGAGGAATAATCATTTCCTTCAGTCTATCCATTTAATTCCATCCGACCAACCAACCAACCAAACACACATTCTTGATACATTATTACATACAATGAGCATTTTTAAGAAGAAAAACCTAAACTTGACACTGACTAAAACAAACTACAAGCTGGATATCAATCTTCATCATCAGAACTATCATCACTACTGTACTCGGTATCACTATCATCATCAATATCAAGTTGCACATGTCGAACCTGTATCGGTTGTGGTCCCTTCCCAAACCCAGGAACATGAACCGGTTGCTGTTGTTCCTCCAATCTAGGAGCAACAACAACCGAATCCAAAGGTGGCAAAGCCACCGGGTCCCCCGGCTTCCATCCAGCCGGCGGAAGAATTGGTAGATCCGTCGGCAACTGCACCGGCATCCCCGGCTTCCACCCAGACGGCACCACAATATTCGTAGGAAGCATATCCTTAATCGCCATATTCCCAACCAAATTACCCTCCAACATATTTTCAGCCAAGGGCTCAATCGTAAATTTATCTTTATCAGATTTAGGTAATCCCACGTCCATGTCAGCAAATAAGTACAACTGAGAAGCACGCATCTGCTCCTCCTGGGGTGCGGGAGGCAAAGCCCCCCGCAGGGGGGCCGTCCCGGCCCCAAACTCAGGCGGAGCAAACGTCGTGTAACTTATTCTATGCGCGTACGATAAAATATCGTTTAAGTTTAAATGTGTGGCAACTGTTGTTGTATTTGAATCCTCTTCACTTTCTTCAACTTTGGATCTTTTTAAACGGCGATAATCAGAGTAATCATCGACTAACATGTCGAGAACACGTTCGGATTCTTTAAGTTTGTTAGCAAACGCGAGAATTGCGGAATCTTTGGATCGGATTTCGCGGGTAATTTTTTGTTTGGCGTCTTGGAGGTCGAGGATTTCTTGGAGTTCAGTTACGGATTCGAAGAGTTGGGATTGGAGGGTTGTAAAGAGGGAGATGATTTCTTTTGTGGTGGTGGGAATGGAATCGGTTGGGGCTTGGGTTTGGATGGAAAGGAATGTGGGAAATGAACCACGGAATGTGGTAAGCCATTGGGTTTGGTTTGTGGAGACATCGAAGAGTTTTGTTGTGAGGGATGACATTCTTAAGAGGATTGATTGGGCTCTTTGTAGTGGTGGAAGGAGGGGGAGGAGGGTTAGGGAGGTGGGGGTTGTTTGTAGATTTGGGTGGAGGTTAGGTGGGTGTGATTGTGGGATTTGTGAGGTGAATTTTGGAGGGGCTGGGGTTTGTAAAGATGGTGAATTAGGGTTTGGGAGGCCTAGCCTAGCGGGAGATTGTATCATCTGGTGAGGTACGTTTTGTAGCATTTTTGGACTTTTCTTATGAATCTGTTTGTTACAAAACCAACAAAAAAAAAAGGTTTAACATCAGATGATAATAATGCAGTCTACAACTCTACATAATATGAATCAGTCCATTCAACCATGATATGATTTCAGGAAAGCATCATGGAGTTAAAGAAGCCATTTTTGATAAACCAATTGACCAAATTGTTTTTAGCAGTTCCACACAAAAACATCATACACATTCATGGGGATGCCAAAGAGAAAATTCATGTATTTTGTGCAACATAATTCGATGCAATTCCCACAGATCTGGAGGGGCAGATGGGTTGGTTGCAGAAGGAATATGATTAAATGAGGGATTAGGAGGGTGTTTGGCTAAGCTTATTAAAAATGCTTTTAACTTTTTAACTGATATCTTATTAGCTTATAGCAATGTCAAAACAGAGTTTTTAAAAAAAATGTTTGGATTAGCTTATAGCGGTGTCAAAACGCTATAAGCTGATAAGCCATTTTTAGTGTTTGGCAAAAAAAAAAAAAACTGTTTATATGTGTCAAATTACCAAAAAGGAGTTCCTTTTATATTATGAAGTTTAGACTTAAGTTTCTTTTTTTGATGTATCAGCATCAACAAGATTAACATTGTTGGTGTCCATAACCTAAATTACAGTCCATTATCATATAAGCATCTTAAGAATTTCATTCAAAAACAAAAGAGGCATGCACCTTCAAACTGTTACAGAATTGAACAAACACATACACTTTCAAATTGTTCCAGTTATCATATAAGCATCTTAAGAATAACATCTAGGTTCAATAGAAAATTGAAGAACAAACACATACACAATTGGCCTTTGTAATCAGTTTTCATTTCACATTCAAAGGTAAACTACACATTCAAAGGTATTTCATTCAAAATCAGTTCTCATTTCACATTCAACTTCAAATCAAAAAAATCGACAGCAAGGAAAATTCATATCATGAACCAGAAAACAGATATCAAAAAATCGACAGCTCCTTTGTCAAAAAAAAAGAGAAACATGAAATACAAATCTTAACATATTAGATTTTAATCTCTACATTTTATATATGGAATCAATTCAGTATACGATTTTTTGAGTTCCAATTCAATTCAGTATAAATATCGGTTGAAAATTCAGAGAACCAAAAAATTAATCTAACAGATACAGAAAACAGGGAAAAGATGAAGATCGACAGAAGCACAAATCGACAGCAAGGAAAAAACACGAATGAAAGCAGACAGAGAAAGACGAATGCAGACAGTAGGAACAAACACGAACCTGTGCGGTCGAAGGAAAAATCCACAGCTCCGGTGTTGCTGTGGGCTGCGACGATCTCCGGCCGGTGGCGAGGAGATGGCTAACGGCGGCGAGCAGTGGAGGATCGCTTGAGGAGTCAACGACAGGAGCAGACGATCGTCGTTGGAGGAGGCGTATGTGATATGCTGTATAAGGCTATTAGGTTAACATTATATTTACAAATTGGTTAATTTCTTTAAACGGTGAAATAAAGAGTTTTTTAATAAGGAATAAGTATGGGAGGTCTCAAATAGTTGCTGTTTAAAAATGTTTTATACACATATTTTTTTAAACTTATATCGGCGTAGAATCTGTAATAAATTAAAAAACATATTTTTTAAATTAAAAAACTTCGTTTAAGCTTAGCCAAACATTCTTTTCATTCAAAATTTGTTCACATTTCATATTCAAAGGTAAACTACTTTCTATGCTTTTATGAGTTTGTTATGCATCAATTGATAGAGATAGCAAAATAATCTAATAGAAACCAAAAGAAGAAAGAATGAAAGCTAGGGAAAAAATCAACATCAGGGGAGGGTCGAAGCAGGAGAAAAATCGATAGCAGGAAAAATTAACCTTAGTTGTTGGGTGCGATGGTTTCTAGCCGGTGGCTTCGCAGGGGGAGGAGATGGCTAACGGTGGTGGCTTCACAAAGGAGGGCTTGCTTGAGGAGGCAACGATCAGGAGAACATCAATGGAGGCGTATGTTTATGTTGTTGTATAAGGTTTGGTTTAAGTGGTATATTGGTATATTATTTTAAACAGTGAAATAAAGAGTTTTTGATAAGTAAAGGGTATCTAACTTATCGAAAATGATTTAAGGTCTCGCACAGCTATAATCTATTTTTAAAAAAAGTTCTTATAACGTCAGGAACCTCGAGGTATGAAATTTTAAGTAAAACATGAGTTTTGAGTGGGTCACGACGTGAGGGAAGCATCGTCACGTCGTTACATGGCCGCGAGAGATGTGAGTTTCATGTAAGTGTCACGACGTGACACATGATCATGGGAAAACCCTAATTTTCAGACTTGGACCCTATTTAAAGGAAGTGGGGGGTTAGGGTTTCCTTCACCCTCGACCTCCATTACCTCCTAAACCCCCCTTGAAGAAACCCTGATCTTTCTCCTCCACTTTTGAACTTATCTTGGTGCTTTTGGTTTCTTCTAAGGAAGAAGAAGGCTTTGGCAGTGTTGTGAGCATCTTGGCAAGCTTTGGGACTTCATTTGGGCACCTCTGGACCTTTGTAAGTGTTCAAGATCCAAATTTTATTGTTCTAGGTTGCTAGATGAAAGTTTTTGTCCCGTTATCTTCAAGTTTTGAAAGACTGTGGTTGGATAACACTTGTATGAAAGACTATGGTTGGCTCACAACACTTGTTTGTCTTCGTGACTTGCATGGCAGACCATGGTTGGATCATGACAGAAAGATTACAACTGGGTTGTAGTCTGGAAGTGACTGTAAGATTATGGTTGGATCATATCATTCATATAGGGTTGAAATACACCCCTACGGTTGGACTCACTGATATGTATGGTATGTGGTCTTTTGGAGAAGCTCACTAAGCTTTGTGGTTACGGTTTTTTGGTTTAAACATTTTCAGGTACTTCCAGTTCCAAAGGGAAGGGTCAAGCTTGACTGCACAACATCCCTTGATGATTTGCCGCACTGATGATTATTATTTTACTATGATGATTGTGATATATTTTAATATGACTGATTTGGAACAAACATTGTATCGATTTGATGGTTTGAAAATGGAATTTTTTATTAGTATTTTTGGGATGGTACAAGTTGGTATAAGAGACTTGGTTTGAGGGATTCGGACACACTCTAGGGTGTGTATGTAACGCCCCGTGTTTCGAGGCTAAACATTAATTTGATGATGTAATAGTCAAGGTCAACCATTGTAACCTATTTTAAAGTAATAAAGATGAATTACTTGAATATTATGTGAATTATGTGATTTTATGTGATTATATACTTGTTTGTAAAGATATAATAAGAATAAGCGTCGAAAATAAAACGTTAGATAAGCCCGATATCTATGAAGAAAGTTGTAGTAGTCGTGACAAGGATTCCGGAGATATAAAGAACGCCGAAATCCGATTTATAACGAAGAAGTTATGACTTGTCGAAGTTTCGCGACAGAACCGGCACGACAACTGCATGACGTAAAAAGTGAGTTTACGATAAAGTGCTTTTTAGCCTTAGCGATCTAAATGAAAGTCGTAGAATACGTTAAACCGAGAGCGTGCATAAGAAGAACGCCCAAATCTGACTTCGTATGAGGAAGTTAAGATTTTTCCAAGTTTCGGATTAACAGTATACATCCCGGAGTTCGAATAGTAGATCGAACGGTTTTCGGCCGACGCAACCTAAACGAGAATCGAAGGTCTCATTAATAGTAGTTCAACGATAAAAAGACAGACGAAAACGGACATCGGACGAAGAAGTTATGGATTTTTAACGGACTTTTTGTAGCACCCGATTCCTGGTACGTATTTAATTTCATTGAAATGTTACAATTTACTCTGGGACTCGGCGAGTTGGAGGCCCAACTCGTCGAGTAGACTCGACTGTTGGATTGAGGGTTTAAGTGACCTACTCTACGAGTCGAAAGACCGACTCGACGAGTAGGAGCTGTCTGGACAAAACCCTAATATTTAGGGTTTGCACCCTATTTAAACACTTTATCTCGTCCCAAACCAGCCTCCATCACCCTCCCAACTCAGAGAAACCCTAGATCGAAACCCTAAACCCTTTTTGAGTGATTCTTGAGCTTGTTGTGCCATTTTGTGCAAGTTAGAAGGTTGAAGAGAAGAAGAAGGAGCTTGGGATTTCAGAAGGAGCAAGGAGATCCAGAGATTTTGCTTCATTTCCTGTTTACAGAAGGTAAAAAGTCCAGACCTTGCTTCTTCTTTCATTAGATACTCTTTTGGAGTAACTTAGGGCTTTTGGAAGCCATTTTGGAGCCATACTTGGATGCTGATGTGTGTAAAACTAACTAGTTTTATCCTACTTTTTAATTATGAATTTGACACACAAAAGGCAGTGGACCTGTCAATTTGTGGTATAATTTAGCAAGCAGGGTATCGAACTCAGGGAACGGAAATTAATCTAACTACTAGAATTATCTAAAACAAATAGTAAAATAGAAGGGTTTTTTCTAGTTTTGCAAGACTAGAAACTTAACTAACACTTAACAGATAAACAATTAAAATGCAACTAAATTCAATAATAAAGAGGACTTCTGTTTAGATTTGAATCATTTGATCCTATGGTTGATTTTATGGTAAATATATCAGATTAACTTTTCATTGGCTATTGATTAGGATGATTAGGTTCACGTTCGTTATTCCTAATCCTTAGAAAACAGATTAATTCAAACAATGACCAGTTGTCTAAATTAATAAGTTCCCTAGTTAATTAATTCGGGTTAAGTAAGACTTGTAATGGTTAATTAAATTAATAATTCACTTAACCTCTTGTTGATGGTTTATCACACAAGCTCACACATCAATTTACCTATTTTCTAATTAATCCTAGTTTCACATTCGCTATTCCTAGGCATATAACTATGTTGTCAAATAAATCACATGAGGTAAGCAATTAAGAGATGTTCATGCAGCTTAACTACTTGTCAATTAACAGAAACTAGTTATGGTTAATGCATAAGGTTTTTTAACAAGCTTAACAAAACAATA